ACCAGCTGTGTCCATGGGACATATCCCTACATCGGCCCATTGCCAGTGTCATGTGACTACTGTAACCAATCACAGCAGATCACGTGTTACTTGTATACAATGGATGGCTTCCTGTCATGCCATCCATTTTATACAATTATGTTATCTGTGACTGGTCAAGGCAGTCACATGATACAGACAGGGCCAATCACAGCCCATCTGTATCATGTGATCAGCTTTGCCTAATCACAACAAAAGACTGAATGAATCAGTTTCATTCAGTAACAATGATTGCAAATATCAATGAAATACATTGGTATTCGTAATCATAATGTGTTAAAAAGAAAAAAATCCTGGGCACTTGCCCAGAGTAGTTCAATGTTACTATGGTAACATTGTATTGCTTTGGTCACAGTGTGCTGAAAAATAAAATGGTAAAAATAAGAAAAAATGTAATAAAAAATAATAGAAACATTTTGAAAAACAAAAAATACAGATTCAATTATTATTATTTTCACCAAAGAAATGTAGCAAAATACATTTTGACCTAAATTTATGAAAACATTTTATTCATTTGAAAAAAAACGAAGAAAAGTGCGCCTTTTTTTTTTTTTTTCAAAAGTTTCAGGTTTTTTTTTTGTTTTATTTAGCAAAAAATAAAATACTTAGTGGTGATTAAATACCACCAAAACCAACAAAAAAAAGTAACAATACTCTAGGAGTGATTGAATGATGGTAGGCAGTATCTTGAATGTTTAAAGCAGTGAGCATGGGTTAAGTGCTCCTTTTGTCTTGTCTAGGGGCTCAGGGAAAAACTGTACTTACCCATTCCTCTGATCCTCCGGAAAACCATGCTCCCCCACGTCCAAAGCGGGTCTATAGGCGTGAGAACGTCAGGAGTGCAGAACAAACTGTGCTCCACAGGAGAAGTACAGCCAAACAAACTTTGGCTGAACATCTCCTTTAAGCCCTTTTTGCATGAATTGCAAACAAGTAGGTGTTTTTTTTGTTTTTTTTCAATGCTGTAGTACACTTACCCAGTTTTCATACTCTACATTTTATGGGAAAAGATAAAGTTTGAGGATGCCCCACAGATGCTCAATGAGAGTTTAGGTCTGGAGACATGCTTGGCCAATCCAGCACCTTTACCCTCGGCTTCTTTAGCAAGGCAGTGGTCGTCTTGGAGGTGTGTTTGGGGTCGTTATCATGTTGGAATACTGCCCTGCAGCCCAGTCTCCGAAGGGAGAGGATCATGCTTTGCTTCAGTATGTCACAGTACATGTTGGCATTTATGGCTCCCTCAATGAACTGTAGCTCCTCAGTGCCAGCAGCACTCTCAGCAGCCCCAGACCATGAAACTCCCACCACCATGCTTGACTGTAGGCAAGACACACTTGTCTTTGTACTCCTCACCTTGTTGCTGCCACACAATCTTGACACCATCTGAACCAAATAAATTTATCTTGGTTTCATCCATCAAACCACAGGACATGGTTCCAGTAATCCATGTCCTTAGTCTGCTTGTCTTCAGCAAACTGTTTGCTGGCTTTCTTGTGCATCATCTTTAGAAGAAGCTTCCTTCTGGGATGACAGCCATGCAGACCAATTTGATGCAGTGTGCGGTGTATGGTCTGAGCACTGACAGGCTGATCCCCCACCCCTTCAACCTCTGCAGCAATGCTGGCAGCACTCATACGTCTATTTCCCAAAGACAACCTCTGGATATGACGCTGAGCACGTGCACTCAACTTCTTTGGTCGACCGTGGCAAGGCCTGTTCTGAGTGGCACCTGTCCTGTTAAACCGCTTTTGTCTTGGCCACTGTTCTGCAGCTCCGTTTCAGGGTCTTGACAATTTTCTTATAGCCTAGGCCATCTTTATGTAGAGCAATAATTCCTTTTTTCAGATCCTCAGAGTTCTTTGCCATGAGGTGCCATGTTGAATTTCCAGTGACCAGTATGAGAGATTGAGAGCGATAACACCAAATTTAACACACCTGCTCCCCATTCACACCTGAGACCTTGTAACACTAACGAGTCACATGACATCGGGGAGGGAAAATGGCTTATTGGGCCCAATTTGGACATTTCACTTTGGGGTGTACTCACTTTTGTTGCCAGCAGTTTAGACATTAATGGCTGTCTGTTGAGTTATTATTTTTGAGAGGACAGAAAATTTACACTGTTATACAAGCTGTACACTCACTACTTTATGTTGTAGCAAAGTGTCATTTCTTCAGTGTTGTCACATGAAAAGATATAATAAAATATTTGCAAAAATGTGAGGGGTGTACTCACTTCTGTGAGATACTGTATATTTGGACAGGTGGTAAGGAGGTGATATGTCACTTCCTCACTGCCTGTTTTAACCAACTAAATGCAGCACCATTGTGCTGCAACTGCATGTAGCGCACGTGGTTGCTGCGAGGCTCCATTCATCTGTAATGCCTGCCAAATGCAACAGGTTGTATAATTTCTGCCATAGCCACAAAGCATTGTGGCTACAGCATATGTACAACCCTGGGTGGTTCCTCTGCAGGTAAAGGAAGAGTAGTTCGGAGGTGGCAGAAATGTGGCTCAACCACATCATTTTACCCCCCCCCCCAACCTTATGTGTAAATGAGCTCTTAGGCTAGGTTCAAACTATTGCGGATCTGCGAACCGCATTTGCTTGGCACGGCAGCTCATTGATTTGAATGGGCTTCTGTTTCATGCAGGAAATTGGTTCCTGCTCCATTTTTAAACCACATTGGCCAGGAAATTGCATAGTGCTTTTGCACCTTGCGATTTCCCAGTAATTCCTATACCTGGAAGTGCGCTGTGTTTTTAGATGTGTGGGGGTGTCATTAAGAATTAATGTGAGCCCCACACTCCCCTAAAGAGCAGTGCGTTTTAATTGCGGATGCGAGAACAGCCATACCCGCATTAGTATGAACCTAGCCTTAGATTGGTGTGCCTTGAGACTGAATATGCTTTCAAAGGGGGCCTTGACTGAAAAAAGGTTGAGAAACACAGGGAGGAAATGATCACTTACCCTTCCAAAGCTTTCCTCTCCGAGCACGTTGTGCAACATGAAGCTTGACAGAGTTGTTGTCATGTCACAGTTTGGTGTGGTGTCTTGGGAACCAGCCTCGGACCAAGGCAGGATGGAAAGGATTGCAAGGTCCTGAAAGGACACTCTTTGCCCAGGTTGATGTTGGTCCCATCTTCAGCTGGACATGCAGGGATGCAATGTGCTGAAGATTGTGAATGGACCTCCATGATGCTGGAGATGCTGGTATTAGTCCCATCCTTAGCCAAGGTGGGCTCTGACACCCTGAGGGTTTTGCATATGACTGGTGATGGTCATCATCTCCAGATACAGAATTGGTGTCAATCACCTCAGGTGAGGAGACAGGAAGGGCTGCAAGGCCCTGAAATGACACTGATGCTCATGCGGGTGTCATCAGTTCCAGCCTCAGCTGGATTTGCAGGGCTGCAGTGCCCTGATAGTACTGAGGTAAACTCCATCAGGTTGGAGGTGCTGATGTTGGTCCCAGCCTTAGCCAATGTGGGACTGGCAGTTCTATGACAACCTGAGGGTTTTGGTGAGGATTGATGGTAATAGTCATCATCATCATAATCTCTGGATCGGTGATGTCTATAGCGGCACCCCATGGCTGAAATAGCAGAAACTCGAGTGAAAAACAAGGAGCAGAAAAAAGCGATGCTTCTCCTGAACCTCTCACAGCTAGAATGAGCTGCCACACTGAGTGTGGTGTCTGGAGAGCTGCTCGTCTTGCTGGTTGTATGGAAGATTTTCAATTTCTTCCCTCAAAGCTTTGTTCTGCTCTATAATTAACCCCTAGAGTCCGAGCGCACGCAAATATGCGGCCTATTGGTGTCTGGGCCTCGACACCAAGCGGCCGCATATTTGCGTAGCATTTGAAAAAAACACACTACCATGCATTCAAGCAGCTTCTCTGTTGAACTCTGCTGTAGCAAAAACGCTATTTGCTTTTAAAAAAAATCCATGACGCTTTCCAAAAACACAGCGGCTCAAAAAAGCATAGATGTGAACATGTTCCACAGGAAACAATGGTAAATGGACAGTAGTGCATTTCTGCAAAAAGCACTAAAAGATGCATTGGTGTGAACAAAGCCTTATTGTCTTCTTCACATTTGTACGCTCAGTCGCTCTCTGCTTTATGCCTGAAAAAAAAAACTCATCCAAGTTGCCAGGAATACGCTCTGCTCAGGTGTGAGTGCAGGCTAAGGCCCCATTCACATTGCGACACGCGATGACACGTTTTTGTGTGCTTTTTTTTTTTTTTTTCTTTTTCATGCTACATGCATAGGGCAGCCCATTCACCTCAATCAGCTTCCCTACATGTGGCAAATTTGCCAATGTAGCTCATGCAGCTTTGAGCTTCACACAGTTTTTAATAGAGGTGCACCGACATTTCGGTGGCCAAAATGTTTCGGCAGAAAAACACCCCTATTGACCCTTGGCCAGTATGAAAATAACCACCGATACAGTTGTCGAAAATAACCTGTGTCCAAATGACCTTAGACTGGGGCGACGGTTCATCTTTTAACAGGACAATGACCCTAAGCACACAGCCCACATAACAAAGGAGTGGCTACGGGCCAAACTCTGTGAATGTCCTGGAGCCCAGACATGAACCCGATTGAACACCTCTGGAGAGCTCTGAAAATGGCTGTGCACCAATGCTCCCCATCCAACCTGATGGAGCTTGAGAGGTACTGCAAAGAATGGGAGAAATTGCCCCAAAATAGTTGTGCCAAGCTTGCAGCATCATACTCCAAACGACTTGAGGCTGTAATTGGTGCTAACGGTGCTTCAACAAACTATTGAGCATAGGCTGTGAATACTTATGTACGTGTGTGGTTTTTTTTTTTTTTATTTATTTATTATTTATTTTTTATTTTAAATAAATTGCAAAGATTTCCTAGTTACATAGTTAGTCTGGCTGAAAAAAGACAAACGTCCATCCTGTTCAACCATAGGAAAAAAAAAAATTATAATCCTATACCCGCAGTTGATCCAGAGGAAGGAAAAAAAAACAGCAAAGCATGATCCAATTTGCTCCTGCTGGGAAAACATTTTCCTTCCTGATTCCCCAAGAGGCAATCGGATATTCCCTGGATCAACTTTACCTATAAATGTTAGTATCCAGTTATATTCTGTGTATCTAAGAAACAATCCAGGCCTTTTTAGAAGTTCAAAACGAACTTCTTTGGTACAACCACAATTCTAAAAAAAAAAAATGGTACAATCTGCATAAAAACAGAATGCAATGCTTTGCAAAGCTCATAAAATATTTTATTCACAATAGAACATAGAAAACATATCAAGACGTTCAAATTATGATTTTTCATTTTGTTAGGTTTTCTCTTTAAAATTAGATAATTTCTTGTTCTTTATAACTATTGGTTATTTCTTATCTACAGGAAAAGGAAAAAATTGAATGCACAAAGCACCTGAATGAACAGCTGCAGTCTAAAGAAGTGGAGCTTCTGCAAGTGAAATCTGAACTGGAAACACACCAAGGTGCAGTATATTACATAACGGCATCAGTGTGTGTGCTTTTACATGCATCAGATTCTTCCACCTCAACAATCACTAACTTTCTAAATTTTGTTTTTTGAAAATCTGCGTAATCATAGAGGTGAGGCAAAAGGTGTAATTGGTGGGGGCTTACAGAAGGCAAGCCCAGCCATTGCAGAAAATGTCAGATTGACCAGCAGTTAGGTGTAACAGAGGCCTCTGCAGGTATGTGCAGGCTCCTCTAGTGTGGCAGTCAAATTGCTGTTGATTTCATTACCTATAGCCACATACCACGTCTGTGTGCTCACCCCATCCACATGATCCTGCTGATTGTCTGTCTTATCTGTTTACAGAGAGCAGCATACACCAATCAGCCATTACTTTATGACCACCCACCTAATATTGAGTAGGGCCTTTTTTTTTTTTTTTTTTCACCAAAACAGCCTTAAGCTGTCATGGCATGGATGACACTAGACCTTTGAAGGTATGCTGTGGTATCTGGCACCAAGCTGTCAATAGCAGATTCTTTAAGTCCTGTAAGTTGCAGCCTCCATGGATTGGACTTGTTTTTCCAGCACATGCTCGATTGGGTTGAGATCTGGAGGCCAAGTCAACTTCTCATACTGCTTGTGTTCATCAAACCATACTTGAACCATTTTTGCAGTTTTATCCTGATGAGAGGACCTTGCCTATAGGCACAACCGTTTTTAAGAAGGGGTGTACTTGGTCAGCAACAGTGTTTAGGTAGGAGGTACATGTCATGTAACAAACACATGATTGGGAAGGATCCAAGGTTTCCCAGCAGAACATTGCCCAAAGCATCACAAGCCTCTGTCGGCTTGAATTTTTTCCATAGTGTATCCTGGTGCCATCTCTTTCCAATGCAAATACACACAGCCATTCACATGATGTAAAAGAAAACATGGTTCATCAGACCATGCCACCTTCTATATCTATCTATCTATCTATATATATATATATATATATCTCAATCAGCTTCTAACTTCAGCTTGTTCAATTAAGCTTTCACAAAAAAAAAAAAAAAAAAAACCAGACAAAACTATAGGCAGGATTGGTTTCTCAATCCTGCTTATAGTTTTTTTGTTTTTTTTTTTTTTTTTTTTTTTTTTTTTTTTTGTCAAAGCTTAATTGAACAAGCTGAAGTTAGAAGCTGATTGGTTTCTATTCACAGCTGCACCAGATTTTGCATTCTTCAGTTTTAGTAATTCAACCCCATGGAGTTACAGAAGGAGTTATAGTTCTATTATTATTATTTTTTTCATATTGGCTATTTTAGATACAAACCGTGCTTAGCAGTTCTTCTGTGAGTCTGAAGTAAGCCTGAAAGCTCTGGGTAGTTTGAAACTGGCAAAAAAGGTTTTCTAATTGCTGTCTTTTTATGTCTAAATTGAATTAGCAAAACACGACACAGATGTATTCCTTGCTTAGTAGAAGAGCTCTGTTCAGGATGGATTAACATTTCTCTTTTTACAGTGATGAAAAGCTTAAGCAAAACTCCTACTGACTGGGAGATCGAAAAACTGAACAGCGAGTTGAAAATCCGGTCAGTGGAGCAAGAACTTAAATTGCTTCAGGAAGAATGCGGACGCCTCCGAGCGGAACTTCAAAGGACAAAGGTAATTGTCCATGTTGAGAAAGTGTGCAGTGAAAACCTGATGTGCATAAAGCCATCAAGCATTTATTGTGATCTCCGCTCTAGGCAGATGCTTTTTATAGAGGAATCAATTTCACTTCTCACAATTAGTTTCAGCAAATCTTTTACTTGTAAGACTATACATATGGATTGGAATGCAAGGCTTTGTGACTGTAAGAGTTTAGATTAACCACTAGGAAACCAGATAATAGTGAGGACTATGCAGAAAGGTCTTTTGGATTAGTACTTTCAAATGGAAAAATGGAACAGTCTGTTTATTGATGTGTTCAGACACATATGAATTGGACCAAGTCTAGAGCTGCATCTCTCAACCAAGGTTCCTTCAGAGGTTGCTAGGGATTCCTTGAGAAATGAGCAGTTTCTGCCTATCAGATAAATTACCACTGACACTAATGATCTTTGCAGCTATCTGTAAAGGAAGGATTCTTCCTACTGACCATCACATAAATGTGCTCTGAGCTGTAGATATAGTAATCATTAGCAGGAGTTTCTGGAGAAAAATATTTTCCAGGTTGCTCCATATTAACACCAATCTGCTATAGGCCGGGTGGCAGGGGCGGACTGACCATTGGAGCACTCTGGCACTGCCCGAGGGCCCAGGGTCAGTAGGGGGCCCCATGAAATGCCCCTGGTACCTTTTTTATAGGCTTTTTTTGGTGTGCTTTGAGTGTGGTCAAGGATATAAGGGCCCCATGATCCCCTATTGCCCGGGGGCCCCATGAGCTGTCAGTCCTCCCCTGCTGGGCGGGATACTCGCCGCTGTGACTGGGCGTCATATGACGTCCTGTCAAAACGCACCACTCACACAGCCACAGGGCCGCGCAGCAGCGTGATCTGTCACCGGCTGTGTCCACAGGACACAGCCGATGACATATCACTACACCGGCCTGTTGCCAGTGTCATGTCACCGCTGTGACCAATCACAGCAGATCACATGTCAATTGTATACAATGGATGGCTTCCTGTCATGCCATCCATTATAAACAATTATGTTGTCAAGGCAGTCACATGATACAGACAGAGCCAATCACAGCCCATCTGTATCATGTGATCAGCTTTGCCCAATCACAGCTAATCACAACAAAAGACTGAATGAATCAGTTTCATTCAGTAACAATGATTGCAATTATCAATGAAATACATTGGTATTAGCAATCATAATGTGTTCAAAAAAAAAAAAAAAAAATCCTGATCACTTGCCCAGAGTAATTCAATGTTACTATGGTAACATTGTATTGCTTTGGTCACAGTGTGCTGAAAAATAAAATGGTAAAAAAAAATGTAAAAAAATAATAAACATTTGAAAAAAAAATACAAATTCAATTACTATTTTAACCAAAGAAATATACCAGAATACATTTTGACCAAAATTTATGAAGAAATGTTATTTATTTGCTAAATTTTATAACAAACAAAATAAAACAAAAAACACCTGAAACTTTTGAAAAAAAATGCACTTTATTTAGCAAAAAATAAAAATTCAGTGGTGATTAAATACCACCAAAAGAAAGCTCTATTTGTGTGAAAAAAATGATAAAAAATTTCATATGGGTACAGTGTTGCATCACACACGCAATTGTCATTCACGGTGCGACAGCGCTGAAAGCTGAAAATTGGCCTGGGCAGGAAGGGGGTGCCTGGTATTGAAGTGGTTGAGAGAGCCTGATCTAGAGAAATGATTTTATGGGAAGGTCAGCTATACAATAATTAAATTTTAAAAATCCATCATAGCGCAAAAAAAACAAACCGGTAGACTCTAGATTAGTGAAGTCCTAGCTGAATAGTTCATAATGCCAAATAAGGAATAGAATCTGGCTTCAAAGGACTTAGTGCAGCTCCTCAGCAGATAGAAGGAATATCTGTAGTAATGTAAAAGAGACATGAGAGGGCACTTCTAAGTGCAGCGGATTAGTCAGCAGTCTTGAGAAGGAGGAGTTGCTTCATTGAAATGTGTAGCCATGCCCACTCCACGCCCTCCAGCGTCTGATTCATTGGCCAAGTTTCCACGCTGTCAGACTGACTCTTTAGTAGTTCTATCCTTGGTATTGAGCTTGTGCATCTCCTAGCACTGGCGGTGTTGCTCTTATCTGCTTCAGATGGTCCAGGTCCTCATGGATGGTGGCTTTTAAGCTTGATATGTGCTTTAACCTCCCTGGCGGTATTCCCGAGTGTAGCTCGGGGTAAAATTTCAATACCAAGAGCGGTAACCCTGAGCTACACTCGGGCTTACCATGCGGCGTTGCTCAGGGGGTCCCTGCAGCACTTACCTTGTCCTTCGCTCCCGGGATGTATCCCCTGCAGCGTCCCCGTCCATCTCCTCCGGCCGATGCCGGCATCCGGCTTCGTGTGTTGCGGTCCCTGTGACGTCGGGACGTACGGGCGGCAAATTTGATATTTTTAAAAAATTTCATTTTTGCTGTCATTGCTGTTTCAATGCATTTCACATACATTTTGTCCCTACTGCTTTGTCCTGTGCCCTGCCTGCATTTTGAATGTTTTTTCTGCCTGGAAACTTAGAAAGGTCCATGGCGTCCAAAAAGCGTCCCTTTACGTCAAAAGCGGTTTTAGAACAGCGATAGTAAATCAGAACCACTTGCAGAATTGAGTGATGATTCGTGGGGAAATTCGTCATCAGACACTGAAAACGATTTTGCGACTTTGCTCAGCGATGTGCAAATTTGCCTCTGTATTTCAAATTTCAGTGTTTTTGGTTTGATTATATTATTGAATTACATTTATTAGTATTATTATTTTTCATGATTATTTATTAAATGATAATTTATGATTTCGTGTTTCAAGCTTTATCATATCCGGAATGTTTACTAGACTCTTGTTGGACAGATTTCAGTGAGTTATTCCTAAAAATTACAGCCTACAATAAAAAACTACATATTTCCATGCAAAAAAATGGTACCGCTTTCAGCACAAAAAATCGGAAAGAATCATACCGCCAGGGAGGTTAATTCCTACTTCATGTGTTTGGCTGATTTGCATTTTTTACTAGTAAATGATTTAAGCTGCTGCACTTAGACGCTCCCTCTTGTGTCTATTACAGTACTTCAACATACACATGTGTGAGGACCATGTTTGACAGCCATGCAGGTACAAGGCCCTAAACACACACTGCTGTGTTTTGGGAGCCGTACACCCACGTGGAAGCCAAAATGGGAGTAGTGTCTGTCTGTGCAGGTGCTTTGTCCCAGGTAACATGAATGGAACTGCCTGCCCAAGGATGCATGCAACACCTGTGTATCACGTGTGGGCAGACATAGCCCTCGCACGGGTGTATGCTGTAGTTCGCCTGCTTGAAGGAGTCCTAAACCACTGGTAGTACACGTGTCAGGAGAGAAGTGTGGTACAATAACTACCATTCTTGACCTTCTTAGAATGCTTGATGCCAAAATGGAGTAGGTTCTGCGCTGCGAGGAACAACTGGGTTAGGTGGCTTTTAAAAATGGAGGATCTTCCGGATGGTACTTCAGATAAAAGCTGGGAAGTTGAGGAAAGCAAGAGCACAAAACCAATGGTTTTGGAGACTTGTATTTATTTAATCATACAATGTAGAGACAACAAGCAACACATTTTGGGAGTTCTAAAACACCCCCTTCATTGGTACTGTTATTTCTATCAATAGCTCACCGTTAAATGTGGATTAAATTGTCACGCAGGACATATGTGATCATAACATACTCCTCCACTGTGCCCATTGCATATGCTGGATCTGGAAGAGATTGTGTCCCCACCATACATTAGCTCAGCATTTCTCAATCTTATTTTTTTAGATGCAGCTCCCTTTAACAGTATGCAGAAACTCAAGGCACCCCAAGACTAAAATGTAAATGTTATTTTTGAATAGGAAACCTGAGTCCAGGACAATGCACACAACTACCTTAATGAAACCAACTTCACATTGAAAGCCTCCCTTTACATCAAAGGTCCCCCTATCACATTAGAGCCCCCCCTTCACGTCAGAGGTCCCCCTGCACGTCAGAGTCCCATTACCACAATCAAGTCCCCCATATACATCAGAGGCCCCTTATCACCACACAGTACCCCCTCACAGAGTCAGAGGCCCACTTGTACATTAAAGACCTCCGATTACATAAGAAGAGCTCCAAGACAGTGTTTCTTGCATCAAATTATAGTCTACCCATCCTATCGGAGTCCCCTGTCACCACCGTTTCCCCTTCAGAACAGAGTCCTCCCATCAATTTTTGACTCAGGGCAAACTGGATCTTGTGCTTGAGGAACCCCGGGAGAACTCAAAGGGCACTCCAGGATGCTGTGCATCCAGCAATAAGCGAGTTAATTTGGGGTGGATTAGAGGTAGGGTTGAACAGACATTGAGGCAGGGTAGATCATCTGCTGGTGCAAATAATCAAAGTGTAGGATATGGATAACAATGAGTAATATTTGATTAGAAATTTTCTGAAAATGTATTAAAATGTCTTTTAATATTTGTAAATGTATACTGTTTTCTGCAGTGTCCACTAGATGGCACCAGATCTAACCATATGGGTAAAATAAATACTATTGATTTTTTGTTTTCTTCTTGGATTCAATTGTTTAAAGAGTAGCATGTATAGATAGTATGTCAGTGTACCTATAACACATTCATTATGTATTTTCACTGTTTTTTTTTGTCCAAAACTTTTGAGGCATGTTTGGAATTTAGAAGGCTGTTTAAAAATGTTTTTTTGTTTAGATGTTAAACTTATATTACTTTTGTCTAATGATATATCAGGATGAGATAACAAGTCCAAGTCTGAAATAGGCTGTTTCTGTATTTTACTTTTAAGAGGCAACTTAGCCAGATCATCAGTGATCTAATTGTTATCATAATGGTAAGAGGTGTGCTTTAGGATAGTTATATCTTTAATCTGCTCTGCTCACATGTCAGAGCTGCATGCATTGGGTGAACTGGGAGATATCACATACACTGAAGCAGAACATCTGTTTAGATAAAAGTTCTATTGACTTGCAGCTGAAGATAAGCCCTGTGTATTCTTCAGTTATACATCATTTTCACATTGGCTATTTTGCTTGTGTACTTTTGCTTTAAAGTATAACTAAAGGCAAAATGTGTCCTTCTTTTTTTTTTTTTTTTTTTTTTTTTTTTTTTTTTTTTTTGGCCAGAGTAGAGATGAATTAGAACACCTATTAAGTTTT